CTATACAAACTCCACGGCCCAGCTGCGCCACAACACCTGTTTTTCTGCAGATAAAAGCCAGGGCTGGTGTTAGGGGGTAGCAAGCAGGGCAATGGCCAGGGCCCCACGCCACAGCAGGCCCCACGAAGCTAAACTGCTCAGGCTTCGGATTCAGCCCAGGGTGGTGGGGCTGAGGGCAAAGGGGCTTTGGCTTTCTGCCCTGGGCCTCAGTGAGTCTAATGAGGATCCCTGCTTGGTGGACCCCCTGAAACCTGATCAAAGCCCCCCAGGGGGCCTCAGACCCGTGGCTGAGAACTGCTGCTCTAGGTGGTTTAGGGACTTGGATTGCAAGCTCCTCAGGGCAGGAACCATCTGTTCGTTACGAATCCATTCTCCATCACCCGCACCTCGTGGCCTTTCCCACCCGGGCAGCACTTCACCCCGGTGCCAGCAGCTCCACGAGGTGTTGGGTGAGCGACAGTTCAGCCCACACGTCTGTACAGCACCTGGCACAACCGGGCACAGCGTCTGCAGCAGAGCAAGGATTGGAACCCAGGAGCTCCGAAATCCCAACCCCTGATCTGTGCCCGGCTGCTCAGTTCCGCCCCATGGAGCTGCACAGAGGGCAAGCTGTCACACGGGGGCATGCAGGAGTGACAAGCCGGAAGTCAATAGCAATCAAGGGCCTTGGCTCGGGGCTTTCCTGACGCATTAACTTACGCTGGCTCTGCCTCGCCCCGTCACCAGGACTCGCGCTCTTTTGCCATCCCTAACAAGGCTGGCTGGCGTGAAACTAGAGCCGCCAGCTCTGTTGCAGGTTTTGGTTCACGAGGCAGCGCCCTGAAGCTAGGAGATTGCAGGAGGTTCCACCCCACCCCCCTTCCTCCGTCAGACTCACTGGAGCATGGGCTGGGCTGGGCTGCACAGCGAGAGCTCCACCTGAAACCTGGTGGAGGGAAAGAGAGCGCGTCCAAGAGATGATCAGCCCTGTACTATCCAACAAGAATCTCTGCCCCTTTACAGTGCCTGTCTGCACACCTGACCTCAACACCCAAACAAAGAACCACCTCCGGCCCACAGAGCTACCAACACAGCATAGCTGCAGGTGGAGAGTTGCATAATCATCTTCCCTCACTGCAGACAGAAGCTGCAATCCTTGTCTACCCTTTGCCAAGCAGGCCCCAGCCCTGAAGATAGAGGCTCATCCTCCAGCCATCAGTGCAAAGACATGGGCAAAGCCCAAAGACACCCAGGCAGAAGGGTGAAAGGAGACAGTTTTGCACACTCCTTGGAGGTGCCAGTGTTGGAGGCAGGGCAGAAACATCTGTAGGACTGACAGACTAGACTTTCAAACAGCTGATATGCTGTTAATTTATCAGAAGCATCTGCAGCACCTATTGCAAAGCAGGTGGAAAATATCAGGCAGAGAAAATTAGATCCCTATCCAGAGTGTTTGACCCAGAGGGAGACAGGGATCTTGGCTCTTGCCAGCGTAATCTTCCACACACAGACACAATTAACCTGTGGAACTCACTGCCACAAGATATCACCAACCTGAAGTGCTTAGCAGGATTTCCAAAAGGACTGGGCAGTTCTATGGATGACAAGGATATCCAGAGTTGCATTAAGTACTAACAAAGACAACAGGAGTTTGGGAAAGGCTATAAACTCTCATGCTTCAGGGCATGAGCCAACCTCTAATTAGTACAGGGAGGGGGTCAGGAGGAAACATTCCCTGGGGCCAGGTTATCCCTTAACTGTCTCAAGTTCCTCTGAAATAGCAGATACTGGCCAGTGTCTTTCACAAGATACTGGACTAGACAGACCGCTGCTCTGCTCCAGTCTTGCCATTCCTGCGTCCCCATATTGTGGCTGTGGGAGGGTGAGGAGCGAGCAGCCAGATTTCTCACAGCCCATTCAAGACCATGGTAAGCTAAGACAATTTCCGTGTTGGGAGACTGAAGGCAGTTCAGGGATATCTCACCGGGGAAATGGTTAACCAACTCACCCACCCCAGAACAAACGCACAGAACAATGGGACCCAGAATGCAGCAATCAGCAAAAATCACTCACATCAGCTGAAGCCCTTTTAAATGACTCTCACCCTGAATACAATAACCTGCTGTGTCATGTGGCCTACAGTCAGGAGGGTCAGTAGAGGATTCACCTGAGTTACAGAACCGCCCCGCTCCAGCCTGTTAGCAGAGGGCATCGCTCCCCTTCACAGACATCAGCTGTGGCCAAAAGGAGGCAAGCCCAGTTCTGCTCCCAAGCAGAATCCAGCTTGGATTCCATCAAGACCTGGACTGGTTTGCCAATCGCTCACCACATAAAGCATGGCCCGGGTACTGCTCACTGAGCGCCATCCCAGAGCGAGGGCTCTGCTGGGGGCAGGTCAGGCTCCGTGCCAGCCTCTGACATGAAGGCACACACCTTCCGACGGGGGGCCAAGAGGGAAGCACTGAATCGTTTTCACTCTGGACCTCACCTGGAGTCAAACCACAGTGCTAGCGAGAACAAAGGCCTAGTGGATTGGGCACTAGACTGGGACTCAGGAGACCTGGGTTCAGGTCCCAGCTCCGCCCCTCCTCCGCTGGCAGACCTTGGGCAGGTCCCAGCCCTCCCTCTGCCTCAGTTTCCCTATCTGTAAAACAGGGAGAACGTGGGCTTGGAGATTTATGGATGAAGAGGACTATCAAAGAGCTGCTACATCCGGGGCAGATGTCTAACTCAGGCCGGGGCTAAGCTGCCGTTTATTCCCATCTCTCATGCTGCTGGACTGAGCTGAGGCGTGCAGAGCAGATACTGCCCCAGAGCTCTTCGCCGGTTGGCAGAGCTCCAGGTTCAGAGCCCTCCCCAGGGAAGTCCGTGCACTCACTATGTCCCCCGGAGAGACATGGAGCCATTAAGCCAGAGACGAGCCCGAGCCTGGAAGCTCCACTCCAGCCCCTTGAACTCTGCTCAGACTGAAGACTTCATCGAAGCTCTGGCACAGCTCTAATACAGACAATAGGCTGCAGAGACCTTCAACTAGCCCCCTTCTCGCCCTGCAGCACAGCGCAGGGCAGGGATGTTGCCAGACACAACCCAACATCAGCAGTTCCAAGCATTCCCGGAAGGGGCCAATACATCACAGGGTGCAAGGTATCTCTCAGGTGCCTTTAACCAACAACTGCAGCCAATTCTCAGTTATTCACAATGGATCCTGCAGAGATGCTCCCCAGAATCCCTTGCACTGGTCCCCACCTCCCTTCCCCTGGCAAGGGGCAACTGCTCAGTGCTCCCAGCACCCCAGCTGGCAAGCAAGCCGAGCTCCCTGTCTAGCTTGAGGCAGGCTAACCCCCATGCACGGGGGCAGAGGTCAAAGCCTTCTTCCTGCAGCAGGAGAAAGCTGAGAGGGCAGGTGGGGTGGAGAGGGGGCTTGGTTCCCGGGCCCCCTATTTAGTCAGTTACACCCACCCGGAGCACATTTAAACACATCAGACATTTTTGGAGGATAGGTCCATCAATGGCTATTAGCCACAATGGGCAGGGACACAACCCCCTGCTCTGGGTGTCCCTAGCCTCTGTTTGCCAGAAGCTGGGAATGGGTGACAGGGGATGGATCACTTGATTATTGCCTGTTCTGTTCATTCCCTCTGGGGTACCTGGCACTGGCCGCTGTTGGAAGACAGGACACTGGGTTAGATGGGCCATTGGTCTGACCCACGGTGGCCACCCTTACGGTCTTACCCCTCTGCACAGCTGTAAGAGATGGTACTCCTGGCGCAGCAGTGGAAAAATCAAGCCCAGGCTAGGAGCAAGCTGGTAACCCACCTCCCTCTGCCAGCTGCTGGGTCCATGGCGACAGAGGCCTGAGTGGTAGCTAGCCAGACCAGGCACTGACACAGCAAAGGCCGTGTTCTCCCAGCATCTATTTTGAACCCTTCTGGCATCCCAGGAGTGGCCAGCTAAATAAGTCATGGTGGCTGGGGGCTGCCCTGGCTGACGGGCCCCAGAGCAATTAAAGAAATGGGCTGCTCACAACGGTGTGGCCAAGCCAGGCTAAGAGGTGAAGGCCAGACGCCCAGCACTGCAAAAATCAGATGAATTCTCAGGTGTGTTCGCCACTCAAGGCAAAGCCTGGCTATACCACAACCAGCCATACAGCTCGCCCCAGCCACACGAGGCGGGGTTAGCCCATTGGCTAAAATTACACCTGTTTAGCCTAGTGCCAACAGGCCCTGGGAGTTAGCCGGAGTCTGAGGTTACCCTCACACAGCAGTAAGCCCCGGCCCCAGCGGTTTGTTTTGCAAGAGCCTTGGAGAACTTGGAGCCACTCCAGAGTTAGCAACAAAGTTAGCCAGAGTCACTGAGTCAGGGAAACCAACCGATCTCGCTGCCCACCTCCCCAAGTCAGCCCAAATCCCCAGCCACAGCCTCTCTCCTCCACAGCTTGGCAGGGCTGCTGGAAGAGGTAACCCTAGCAGGGCCTTTGTATGCCTGGGCCTGCAGCCCTTTGTTCCATCGCATTTCACTCCACCAGCCAGCTGGGCAAGTCACCCGGGGCACCCAGCAAGGAGCAGCCCTTTCCCACGGGCACCTCGCTCGGGGCGGGGGGATAAGATGGGAAGAGGAATCAAGGCTGATGTGGCAAGGCTGGGCACAGGGCTGGCACAGCCTGCAAGGGGCCCCTGGCACCTTTCTCTCCTCCTAGCCCAGGAAATCCCTTCCTGCCGCCCGTCTCTGCCACAGCCCCGCCTGGGCATCCCGGGGCAAGGGCGCACAAAGACCCACTCGGGCCCGGTCTGCGCGCATCTCGGTGCCTGCCCCCCGCGAAAACCCGGGCCCGGTTCCACACCAACAGCCCCCCCCCCCCCCCCCCCCCCCCCCCCCCGGGCCCGGTTCCACACAAACAGCCCCACCCCCCGGTCTCCCCTCTCCAAGCGCAGCGCTTGGGTCTCAGCCACCGCCTGCCCGAGGGCTGGTTTTACTGGGCCGCCCCCTCCCTCCAGCGTCCCCCCCCCAATCAAGGCACCTACTTCTCTCCCCGCGGAGGCGCCCCCAGCAGCCCCCTCCTCTGCGCGAGCTTCTCAGGGCGCAAAGTTCCGCCGCGCTGCGCACCCCTCTCCCAGCGCACGCACAGCCGGGGCGCGCAACTCCCGGGCCGCCGCCCGCGCCTCGCTCCCCTGCACTTTGCTCCTGCCCGGCGGGCGAGCCAGAACAACCGCAGTAAATCTCCCGGCCAGTCCCCACCCCTCCCGGCCCAGCGCTCGCCTGGCGTTAAAGAGACAGGGCGAGCCAGACAAAAGAGCCCCGCTTTGGAAATTACCTGGAACCACCCCCCCGCGCCTTCCCGGATTCCCCCGCCCGCTGGCTACGGCCCAAACCCGGCAGCGGAGGGCCCCTGGCTCCCGGGGGGGAGAGGGGGTTGTGTGTGTGTGTGGGGGGGGGACGCGTGCATCCTTTGCCGATGCATTACAAGAGCCCCCGCCGTTGGCAATCGCTGCTCTTTGCAGGCCAGGCTCCGGGAAGCACATTCCGGGCAAGGGCCAGCGGCTGCTAGTTCGTTAGCATTGACTTTGGAGGGGGGGGCGGGATCAATGTCTCTTTCATTGCGGGGGGGGGGGGGGCGGACTCCGCACGGGTTCCCGAGGAGAACCAGCTTGGAGCATCTCCCAGCCCTCCCCAAGGCGAGCCCGGGGCTGCAGGGACACCTTTGACCAGCAAAAGGCAGCCCCCCCCCCCCAATCTCATTTCCCTTGAAGCAGCTGAGCAAAGAGCAGCGATGGGGGAAAATCCCATGGCACGAACCCCTCTGCAGCCAGTCCCCGCAGTACAAACCGGCTCCACTCCCATTGTGTCCCTACACCCCCCTGCCCGCCCCCCAAGCCTGGGAACCCCTCTGCCCCGCCGGGGCTGTGCAGGGTGGGTACCTACCTAGTCACAAGCCCCTGCCCGTCTCCCAGGCAGGCTTTGTTCCCTCAGTGCTCCGCGCTCCCCTCCCGTCTCTCCAGCCCATGTCCGTTTCCAAGCTTGTTTCGGCTCCGGATTGAAACGGATCATCCCGGCGCGCCCCACTCCTTCGGGGATGATGTCATTGCTCGGCCAGGGCCAATGGGGCTCGGCGGCGTCACGGGGGCAGCCCCAGGCTCCTCCATTCAAACCGGGCATGGCTCCGACTCTCGGGTCCATGTGGCAGGCAGGGAGGGGAGCAAGAGGCCAGCTCATCTGGGAGAGCCGGGTTGCCCAATGCTGGAGTGTCCCGAGTCATGCTCACACGGCTCTGCAACAGGATGGAGGGGCGGGGAGACGGGGTCACACATGCCAGTTAGTCAGTGCTTTCCCAGCAGCAGGGTGAGGCAAAACTGTCCGACCCCCCAGAGAACAAAGAGACACTGTTACCAACGCGAAGAAAACAAGGAGTCCGGTGGCACCTTAAAGCTTATGCCCAAATAAATCAGTTAGTCTTTAAGGTGCCACCGAACTCCTTGTTTTTGTGGATACGGACTAACACGGCTACCCCTGATACTTGTTACTAATGCAGTGGTTCTCAAGCAGGGGGCCGGCTGCGGTCCCCCGGGGAGCTGTGAGCAGGTTTCAGGGGGTCCGCCAAGCAGGGCTGGTATTAGACTCGCTAGGGCCCAGGACAGAAAGCCGAAGACCCGCCACACGGGACGACAGCCCGAGCCTCACCACCCGGGACTGAAGCCAAAGCCTGGGCAACTTAGCTTCACGGTGTGCCCCCTGCGGTGTAGGCCTCTGGGCCATTGCCCTGCTTGCTACCCCGTAACGCTGGCCCTGGCTTTTATCTGCAGAAAAACAGGGGTTGTGGCATAGTTGGACGGAAGAGTTTTATAGCATGTTGTGGGGGGGGGCTCGGAAAGAAAAAGGTTGAGAACCCCCGGCCTAATGTGTGTTCAACTTTCTATTAACCCCATGGCTGTCTCGGGGCTGGCAGTGAGTGTCTTTGGCTATGAAGTAGAGTTTGTGAGTGCGTGCACACACACACACACACACACCCCGGTCATATATGTCTCTATTTTTATTGCCCCAACGCTCATGACCTTGTGGCTCCAACGCAGCACCGGGAGTCAGGACACCTGGGTTCTTCTATGCTAGACTGCAACAGATTTGCTGTGTGACTGCAGGCATATCCCTTCCCCTCTCTGTGCTGGGGGGCCGGGGGAGGGGATCCAGTATTGTCAGGCTCACCAAAAATCACAAGATTGGCTTTAAAATCATGAGATTATGTAAAAACAATAGACGTGAGGTTCTTTTTTTATTGGCCTTCTTCTTTTTGAGCGTTTCGGGTGCACTGGGGTCACGTTTGGAAGCTTTCTCCACAGCCACAAGTGCTAGAAACTTACTTTTCCTTTAAGAATGAAGGTTGAAATCATCCCATATCCACTTGACTCCAGGAGCTGGGGCTTCAAGGAAACAATAATTATCATGAGGCTCATGACACATTACAGCTGGAAGCAAGCCCCCCAACCTGGGTGACAGAAACTTGCTGGTTCTGCTGGAGCTAGCGCTGTGAAAACAGCGGCATGGGTTGCAGCCCGAGGACTGACCCAGGGGGTCGGACGAGCTTGTACTCGTCCGGCCTGCAACGTTCACATCACTGTGCTTGAGCTAGCCCGTCTGTCTGCCTCTGCTGGGAAGCAAGCTGCCAGCTGTGCTGTAGAAACCCCTTAAGTTTCGCCGTCTGTAAAATGGGCCTAAAGATATTCCTTGCGCTCTTCACTGCGGGGTGTTGTGAGCTGTGATTCACTCGCCAGGCACATTGGGAACTTCAAGTGGAAGGAGCTCTGAGAAAATACTGTCATTGCAAAGCTGCGCGTGACTGGGGAAGTTCTGAGTTATTGCTAACAAAACACAGGCAGAGAAAACGTCATGTTTCAGGGGTTTAGCAAAGCTCTTAAGGATTAGGATGAGACCTTCATGGGGGGCAGATGATTGCACATCGGCCTGCTGTGGGGTTTCCTGCCCTTCCTCTGAAGTCTCTGGTGGCAGCGACTGAGATGGGTGGCCCACGGGTCTGCTCCAGTCTGGAAGGTCCTTTGTTTTTAAGTGCCCATGCAGGCAAATGCAGCAAAAGCTGATTTGCACCCAGCAAGAGCTCACGTGTAGCCTTGGATGCTGACTGTAGTGCTTTAGTGTAGACGCTGTGCCGATGTAGTGCTGTAGTGTACATGCTGTGCTGCTGTAATGTAGATGCTGTGGTGTAGACACTGTGCTGCCGTAGTGCCGTAGTGTAGACGCTGTGCTGCTGTAGTGCTGCAATGTAGACACTTTCTACATAGGTGGAAAGGGTTTTTTCTGTCGCTATAGTTAACCCACCTCTCTGCAAGGCAGTAGCTAGGTGGACGGAAGAATCCTTCCACCAACCGAGCTGAATCTACACCGGGGGTTAGGTCGATCTAACTGTAGTGCTCAGGGCCCGAGCAGCATAGCTAGTTCGATCTAACTTTTAAGTGTAGACCAGGTCCGGGCACTGAGAAGTTAAGTGGCTTGCCTGTGGGCATACAGCAAGTCATTGGCAGGGATTAAAATGCCCTCAGACCTGTGCTCTGTCCTCTAACTCAGTTGCCTCTCAGACATTAGCATTGTCCTCTGAGACTGCAAAAGGAAATCTTTCATTTTCACCAGGATGGCAGCCACTGGAGGGTTGCAAAAGCAAACTCAGTTTAATGTCTCATCTGCTAGATCCATTTATTACTGATGGTGGCTCCTCTGCCTCTGGGGAACTAGCTCATTATGACTGAGCCATACCGTTTCTCGCACGGGAACAAAGCATGGCACAAACGGTGCACGGCTGGGCTTTGCAGACAAGGAACGCATCAGACCTCAGGGACCGAAGGATACACCCCTGCCTTGAGGCCGTCCTTGGCTGGGTGCTGCGTGTAGTGAGTGCCTACGGCGAAGGGTCCAGAGTTCTCAAAGCACTTTGCAAAGGAGGGATATACACTATTATCCCCATTTTACAGCTTGGGAGACTGAGGCAGAGGAAAGCTGAAGTGACTTGACTGAGCCAATGGCAGAGCTAGGACTGGTCTCCACCTTGGCTAAATGCTAGCCTGGGACTCTACCCACTGCCCCACGCTGGTTCCCTACTCATTGGCTGATAAATAACCGTTTGTATACACAGTGCTAACTACATTTAACTCTACTCTCCCAGCCCAAAGCTGCTGCATCGCAGGGCGCTGGCAGGAGAGCGTGTTCGCATGAGACAGCCCAGTCAGGAGGAATTAGAATCAATCGCCCGAGCTGGGCTGGTGGGGAGACGGCTGACGTTAGGCTGCAGCCGGAGGGGCAGCTGGACTTTGCAGGAGTGCGACGCGCAGGCACCCACTGACCTCGAAAAACTGCCAGTCAGCGCCGGGCGCTCCCAACCCGCCCCAGCTCTGCTTTGGCTCCAGGCTGCACAGAGCCTCCTGGACCCAGCCTGCGGGAAACAGCAGCGAGGTTTGTCCGCGGGCACTGGCGTTTCAAGGCTCGGGAGCAGGGGTGTGGGCGGGGCGAGCTGAATCAATAACCGCCCCCCCCCGAGCCCGTTGCTGGGTTTCTTTCATGGCTTCTCAGAACACTCTTAAAAGAAGTGGCAAGAAACCAATTAAACAGCGCTCGCTCACAAGGCCAAAGAGAATGTGCCAGCCCATGGCAGCAGCCGCTGCCCCGCCATTCCTCCCAGAACTGGAATTGAGCGGGCAAGACAATGGCATGCCAGGCTTGTCTCACTAGATTGTCGTCAGGGGCACCGGAGACCCTTTCAGAACAGCACAGCCGGAGAGAGGCAGCTTCCCATCAAGCCCACATGGGAAAACCAGAACGAACCCGGTTTGGTTTATATATGAGCATAAGCATGGCCAGACTGGATCAGCCCCTAGCTCAGCAGTTTGGCTCGCCACCAGGGACCAGATGCTCCAGGGGAAGGTTCAAGGAACCCTGCAGGAGGCAGCTGTGGGATAATCTGGCTCCCCCTGAAGGCCTCAGCCTGCTCCCTAATGGAGATGGGTTTAAACCCTGGAACATGAGGGGTTTTAAATCTCCCTTCTAACACGCTTTTGTTCACATGCACTATTACAACTCTGGCAGTCCTTGTTATCCACATGAATGTCCAATCTGTCTTTGAAGCTTGGTAAATTCTTGGCCTCAATGACATCCTGTGGCAGAGAGTTC